TAACATTAAAAAAGTAAAATTGAAACCATAAAATATATAAAAATAATATAAAAATATATAAAAAAAATATAAAAAAATCCAATTAAGTAAAAAAAAAAATAATATAAAATAAAAGAAAATAAGTTGACTTGCAATCAAATTAAATTAATAGAATTATATAACAAAATATATATTAAAAAACAAATCAAAAAAGGTAAATAGAATTAAAACAAATTAAATAAAAATAGAAAAAAAAATTTTAAAAATTAAAAATAAAACAAAAAATAAATAAAAATTAATAAAATTAAATTATGTTGAATTAAATTAAATTTTATAACATAAAATAACATAAACAAAAATAAAATAACAAAATAAAATAAAACAGAAAAAAAATTAATTTGAAAAAACAGAATAGAATAAAAACATAACAAAATGAAATAAATAAAATAAAGTAACATAAAATAAAATTTTTTTAAATCGAATTAAATAAAATTAAAAAAATTTAAATTAAATGGTTCGAATTGAAAATAAAAAAACAATAAATTTTATTAAATAATATAAAATAAATTTGATAAAAAAAATTAAAAAATAAAATAATATAGAAGAAATATAAAAAATAATATGAAATAAAATAAAATGTGGTAGAATCTAAAATTAACTTGAAATAAATAAAATAAAAAAAATTACATAAAATTAAACAAAATTTAATACAATATAAATCAATTTAGTTCAATCAAACAAAGTTAAAGTGAAATAAATCAAGCATATACAGATTAAGAAATATAAATTAAAAAAAGTAAAAACAATAATAATATTACCTAATAAATTTAAAGAAAAAATTAAAAGTTCAAAAAAAAAATATTAATGAAGAAAAGAAAAATTTGTAGTTCTTTTCAATTTAATAAGTTAAAAATAAAGATGAGATGGGGTAGGGATTCAAGAGTTTACCGCCTCAGCAGTTCGGTCCTTACATTGGAACTGCACCAGGATTTTTATCCAGTCAAGAACTGTTTTACATCTAGGGCAACAACAACAAAAAGAAGAAAACGCAACCAATATATGTGAACTGTACTTTTAATTTAATATATATATATATATATATATATATTTAATAAAATAATTACACATAGATTTAAAAAACAAACAATTTTCTTTTTGTAAATTATATATCAATTATTAAACATTATAAATTTAAATACTACTGTATGAGTATGGGATTCATTAGAACAAATTTTATATTGGAGCAAAATAATAAAAGTAATACTTTTGTATTATTCTTAGCTGGTTATATTCTTGTAGTGGATTTGTACAAAGAGAGCTCTCGTTTATATCTCAGACGAATGGCTTTTTAAGTTATACCCATTCTCATATTTATATAAATTACTGCAAAACCATTCACATATATTTCAATTAAAATGAAGCATCGACAGGTAAATATATTTGTATCTATACTAACTCTCACCTTTACACTTCCAGCTGCACTGAATTTGACCTACTTTTTATGAAAACAATTCACACAAGACACTACAGCATGCCGAGACACAAATCATCATTAGTGAGCATACCTATGTACATATATACGAATGTGCATGTACATACGTTTGCACATACAAATGTATGTCTGTAGTTTTCGATAAACTCACACGCAAAAGCCATCAGTTAAAGTACGTGTGAGCTTTACTTGACATCACGCAACGCTACTCACTGACTGTCAGTCAGTCAACTTAGCTGTCAGGCAATGTGACTTGCAGCTTGACGCATGCTACATGCCACAAACTGAATACACTTATCCACATATATATAATAACATATCTAAATTACCGTCGCTAAGCTAAGTGAACTTCTAAAGCAAAATTGTTTACTACTCAACCACTCCAACACACTCAAACACGCAGAAGCATGCATATAAATATATCCTTCCCATATATTCTCTTGCCTCCCCAGGCGTATCGATTTCGATTGTAATCTAATTTTATTGATATTGACACAATTTCGCAGATTTCCGGATAAACATAAAAATAAGTTGAAATGTTGCGAGTGTGTAATGAGAAAAGAGGAAGCAAAGCGAGCAGGAAGAAGAAGAAACACCAGCAGCGCCAGCAGCAGCAGCACCAGCGGAAGTAATAAATATAATTGTGTGCCTGTATGTGTGTGTGTGTGTGTTTTGTAAGAAAACAATGAGTGAAAGTAAGTGAATTGCACTTCTGTGAAATGTTTAATCGAGGTGGGCGCAAGTGGGTCTCATTCAAATCGTTTGTATTTATTATTGTAATTGCAGAGCTACAAAAGTAGAAGGAACAAAAGCAAAGGAAAAACTTTCACACGAAAGTGCGAAGAAATTTGCATGAAACTTTTTTATTGTTTCAATTATGAAAAAGAAGGAAGGAAGAATGCCGAGCAAGCGAGTTTTCTTTGCTGATATTTGCCTTAGTAAGAAGTCAGTTACAAGCAGAAGAGTTTCTTTTGTAGTATGGCTTCGTTTATAAATATGAATTTCGTTCTAAATTACTTTTCCGCTGTTTTCAATATGATTAAAGTTTAAATTCAACAATGAGAGAGTTTTTTTAATCATAATATTAAACTCTCTTCAAAAAAGTACTCTTTTGAGTTATGCCAAAATTAAAATTTTCAAATGTGTTCTTTCCGTTTTCGCACAATTAGCAGGCATTTGAGAAATAAAGTTCCCTCTTAGCCAGCAGAAACTTAACACTCATTATTTCCGTCTAGCTATATGGCGGAAAATATCAGAGGGAGGTAAGTCGTTGCCGGGAGTTTTAAAGAAAAATGTTTTCTCATCGATTTTTGAAGGTTTTCAATGCAATAACCACCGGTGGACCTTTACTTTGTTGAAAAGATCAGGCGGTGAACGGTCTGGATCTTTTCTGCGTCCTCAATTGGCTCAAAATGGGAAGAAAAACGAATAGCGCGATATTGTTGGATTCGCCATAGCCGCGTAGCCAGTATAAGTATACAGAGAACCAATTAGGTAAAATTTACGATGTCAGCAAAGGGAGAGTCCAACACTTAGCTGGTGTGTACATAAATGAATTTCTACCATCGCCTCTCAAGCGCGCTCGAAACCCTTTTTAATTTTCATCCTATTGACCTGTGAGACCAGCTTAAAGCGCTGTCTACATCGGTTTAGGAATTGCACATCCTACAACTTAATTACTGTCTTTTTACTCCATCTTCTACATTGACAATCCTTTTGTTTACAGGAATCCAGAATGAGAGCAATTGGGAATCACACTCACTTACTATATATGAGATACACCTTTACAGACAACTCGATAACGGAGTAGGATGTGAAATTGACTTACTAAATCTCTCAGTATAATTGAGCTTTAGACTAAAAGACATTTTTGGCGACTCCCAGGTAAAATTTCTTGCAATCCGCGCTTTACGGACGCAAGTCCATCCATATTCATATGCTATGATGGGAAATTTGTAATTTGTATTCCAAAAATCCAACTATATTACGTCAAGGGTAGCGATAAAACCTGCCGTGAAAATACTCTTGAGCTAATACAGCACAGCTGTGATATGGGTGCTCAGGTAGAAAGATATGCCACGAAATCGCCAAATATGTTTTTATTCTTCAAAGTCTTACACAGCTACAAAGCTAAGGCCGAGTTAGTAAAAGCGCTACATGGCTCAATCAGATTTAGCCAGCACAGTTACTGCTTCGTGATACGCTGAATTATGTTAATGCTGCCATTTACCTTGGAAACCTCATCGTTCCATCGTCTGCATTATTCTGTGTTGTCAATGCTCAAAAGACATTTTGCTTTCTATCCAAAACTCCCAGCCATGAAGTAAGCCCGAAATGATGGGTAGTTTATTTGGTTTGGCCTTATTCTGCTATATTGGACTTTACTCTATATTTACTTACAATTTCAACGTGTTACCAATTACAAAAGTAATTCTTTTCTGCATTGTTGTTGATGATTTTGATGATTGAAAGGTAGAAGAGATTATCTACGGCTTCAACTGACAACAGCATGGGAGCCAAGTGGTGAAAATGCTGATTGCTTGTGACATAGCAAGAGTTATTGTAACTTGTTATCGTTCACTATGAGACCCATTATTTTTTCCAGCAACAGATTGAAGAAATCATACGATAAGGAGTTATCTCGTTTGAAACCTCATTTGGTATCGAACAGCTCGTCCGTCCTAATAAAACCAGTTGTCGACACATCATAAAAATTTATTTTCAAAATTTTAATTATTTTCCCAATATTGTCAACGCACTGAATTCGTATATTCACAATTAATTTAACGGCTTTGCTATGCGCTTATAAGTTTATTAAAATTTATTATCCAATTTAGTTACTCATACGCACTGTCATTTCAACACGCCGATAATGGGGAATGAGAAGAACCAATAAGCAGAATCAAACAATCAGCCAAAAGCCATAGAAGCACTTAATGGCAACAGAGAAATAGGAGAACAACAATAAAAACAACTCTACAAATACGGGTTGATGTGTTTGTGCGTATATCTGCTCAATTGTTTTGTATTTGTATTTGTATATCGGTTAGCCAAAGCCAAAGTTGAACGCACAACGACAAATAAGTCGAGGGAGGTGGTGTTGTTTTGCTGTTGGTGGCTCTTATTCAGCCAGCTTTTAGCGTTGATAACATTGTTTTCAACAAATCTTTGTTTTTGTTTCGTCCAGCGCAATTTTCTACTTCCGCTTTGCCACGCAGCGCCTTGCATAATTAATGGAGTTCAATTAGGCGTTAATTGTTTGGGTCGCCATTGTGGGGAAAGGGTGGTGCCGTAAGGACATTACCGCTTCTAGCTAACGCCTAAACGAAGAGTAAATAAGCAAACGCCACTAACGATTCGAAATAGTGTGTATTTAATACCGTTAGTTGAACATTTTATTACACCAAAATATTTGTCAACACACAAAAGAATTTAATGGAAAATGGTACAATTAAGCAACGGTAGTAAAACACAAAACAAACACATATTCAGAACGCTATAACAGTTATTCACAAACTACTAACCCGCCTACCAAATTTAATCAACTTTTATGCCCGTACGCGCTGCTATCCAATCTAAATACGTCGCTACGCGAGTATAGACCGATGGAAAACCAATTTCACAACCACCAGCGCTGCCAAAGGCGGTCAAACCAATCAAATAACTTTTATTGCCATAGTAATAGGTTAGTGGACCGCCAGAGTCGCCATCACAGCTGCCACGTCCGCCAGCGCCGCTGGCACAAATATGGTTGCGGCTACGCACCAAACCGGGCAGATAATAGCAGGCGCATTCACCCTGTGCCATTACGGGCGCATCTACATAATACAACAACAAATTGAATTCCATTTTATCCATATCAGCATCACGTGTTAAGCCCCAACCGGATGTAGTGACGATTTTGCCTTGCAAAAAAGACTGCGTCATAAAGCGCGGCGCGAGTGGTATGATCTGTACGGCGCTGGAGAGTTTTGCTGGTGTAGGAAGGCGTATGAGACCGATGTCATCGCGTCCACCACTGAGTGTGTATTTCTCGTAAACAATTAAATCACTTTCGCTCACATTGTAAACAGCAGCAGCGGTGAACGGATTGGCGAAATCAATAGAGCCCAAAAAGACCTTGCCGCAGGTGGACCTGTATTGTGGGTGTGTAAAAATAAATGAAATACTGTTTAAAGTTTAAACAAAGCCGGGACTTACTTGTAAATACAATGCGCTGCAGTGAGCACATAACTCACCGAGATCAGTGTGCCGCCGCATTGATAGATTTTCGGTGCACGCAACAGCAGCAAGCCCACTTGATAGGGAAACATATTGGGCTCTGCCAGCTCGCCGCCGGTTATGCGTGTATCCACCGTTCGACTGATGTTGTATTTGGAGCACTGTTTATCCCAAACGAGCCAAGCCAGGTCCCAATACCAGAATTCGAAGTCGCCAGCACCAAAGTAGGTTCTATGCATTTCCCGCAGTGAAGTGGGTAATGCAACTGTTGAGGCGCGCAGTCCAAAAGTTGCAACTATGAGTAGTGTCAGCGCGAGTTGTGCCATTGTAAGCGGCGGTTACGGTGAACGTTGCAATGGAAGTGCGCATTAGTTGTGGAAAAAGCTTTTATAGATGTCGAGTGGCAAGCAAATATACGCAAATCGCTTTTTGCAAACTATGCAAATATTTATATCTACGTGTATGTATGCGTTATAATTATATTGCTTGTGATGCTAAAACGTATAAGCACATAATTATTTTATTTTCAGTTTCAACTGGTGTTTTCATATTTTTTAATAAAAATTCATGAAAATATTTTGCCAAATCAATGAAATATCGGAAAAAAAGATACATGAAAAGTGTTATAGAAGTATGTGTATCGGACCGAACTCAGCTTAGAGAGCTTACAATGGGAAATATTTTTTTAAAGAGTTGCCAGCATTTTAAAATTTTCAGTTGGGATAACTGTTAAAGAAATAAAATATTTACTACATATTAATAATAAAATTTAGAAATGGAAAATATTAATGTTTAATACTCTTTTGGGCCGGGTTGCCACCTGTACTCGATATTTAAATAGGATTAAAGTAAATGAAAAAAAAAATTTATAAAGCGTACAGTGGGATTGTAATTTAGAAAATTAAATATTCTTATTGTTGGAAATATAAATGTTGCACCTATTTCAGTTTTTAAATTTTCACAACATCACAGCCAATCGGAACGCTAGGTTTCCAGATTGGGTTCAACAAGCATCTAAAATTATTGAGAACTAATTTTCTTAAATTTTCTAATTGCAGTAGCCCCTCGGTAAGTGTAGATTATATTTCTGTCCTGAAATAAAAGCTTCTCTTGAAAACTCATCAGCCGCTCGAAGGCCCTCCATTTGTTGGATAACCACCAAGATGCACTCTACAACTTGGAGAAGGAGCTAACTCTTTTGGACTTTGGGAACCATTAATATGACTAAATTATTCTTAAATTGATTACAAGTTTCATTAGATTACTTTAACTGGCCAGTTGGTAATTTGTGGTACCAACTGGAGTTCGAAGCTGACTCGTGGTATATTAGACCTCATTAGTCGGTTGATGATTCCCAACTAGAAATGTTTGACGACTTTAACGCGGCGATCGCACTTAAGTCGTTAAGTAGGCTATGTGTCTCGTCATATAGAATGCCTATATCGCTTTTCTGAAGCTTCAAAAATTATGTATATATATATATATATTGGTTTAAATATATATATATATATATATATATTGGTTTAAATATATATATATATATATAATCTTTTTATTAGGTCCGTGCTTAGGAATAAAAAAAATTTATCCGATTCCGTTTATCCGATGGGATACATTGGAACAGTTTGGGAAGTATATAAATATATGGAAATTAGTTTTTCATAAAATTTCCTTATAAATATAAAAAAATATGAATAACAATATTCTTCTGGTCTTGAAGGCCAAAAAATTTATTTATTTTGCTTGCTTATAAAACAACAATATGTGGACAACATTTGATGAAAATTTGAATGAAAAATGTTATAAGTTAAGGCGTTGGCAGTGCCGTGAAGTAGACCGTCCACAAGAAAGTGCTTTCGCGGTAGTCATGATAACTTTTTGAATTTATATATGAAATCAAAAATTGAAATTTTTGTTAAAGTAGATATGAATTTTTCTTGTCCCTGAACAAGGAAATATTAAAAAAATTAAAAATTCAATTTTTTGTAGCGTCATTTTTTGCATAAAATTTTGCCACATATTGTTTATAAAATGAGTTGAAATCAAAGATAAAATAAATCCTTCGTTCAGGGAATACAAAGACATGCTTAAAAGAAGTGTGGAAAATTTAAACTCGATCGCTGCAATAATTGTTGAAAAATTTTGAATACCGATTTCGATAAAGTGGTTTTAAGAAAAACGCATTTAAAGTTTCGCCCTCGGTCAAGCCATGACAAAGATGGCGGCTAATAAAACTATCTAATTTTTATAGTTTCGTCTCTTTCGACTTGAAACTTGTAAAAAATATTCCTGACACTTGAACTTTTATACAAAAACTTATCAAAAAATGAATTTGCGAAAGTTCAAAGACCTATGTAACCCCTTAAGTTAAATCCTGGCAAATTCTTTAAAACTCATTTTGATCCACATTTAAGCAGCCGCACTGAAAATGGTGAGGTAAAACTCTGCAATCGTATACCCTGCTTATTAGAGTCAAGAGCCTAGACTATAATGACTTTAAAAGCTCATGTGATCTAAGAGATATTTATTAAAGCTAGCCGTCGTCACGCGTTACCAAAATTAAATCAATGACGAAGGACAACTGATCGTGTTGTCAACGAAAGCTCTTCTACTGGGTCAACCAGCTGAACCCTCGCCTGACTAGATTTTCATTAAAGTCAAAGTCTATATATGCCAAATAAAATTTACTTGAACCAAAACTATCATTAAAAATCTTATTTAAGCCTTTTTGAAGTTTAAAACTAAAATACAAAAACAAAACTCTAAGTGCGGAGAAATGTCTGGGAGATTATATTAGCAAGCTTTATGAGTTGAAAATGAAATGTCCACATTGACGAATTAAAAAAAATTGGACGATTTCTTTTGAGTAGAGAGGAAAAATATATATGTTTATGTTATAAAGCTTTGAAAAAATGGCAGATAAAAATGCCCTCAAATAAACTTGATTTGCATTCAATGTGTTAGTAAATGTTTGTTATAAATTATTAAAGCCAAATTTGTTTAAGCAACTCTTAACAGCGAAACAGCCAACTACATATGCATTGCATATCCAATAAATATACAAACATATGTACAATACATACATATGTAGGCATGTCGGTGTGTCTGTGTGTCTGTGTGTCTGTAGTCGATGGCTTGGTACACGTGACATAATTAAAAGCATCATTGTGTTCATAAATCGTTGGAACGTGTCATATTATTTGCGTTGCCTTAATATAACAACAACAAGAACAACAACAACAACAACAACAACAACAACAACAACAACAAAAAGCAACAACAACGCGAGCATGATACTCTTGACATGTCGCCAACAGCTGTTGCTTGCTCACAGCAGACAAATTATGTTTTAATACAAACAAACAGACATATAAAAACATACACACAAACCAATAAATTAGTATGCTATAAAATGCTATACAGTTCAGCGCATAGCCAGTAACTTCAGCTAAAATTGCAATAACAATAAAAGAGGCAACAAAAATAACTGCGCAAATAGAGCTGTCCCTTCTCTCTGTCTCTCTTCATATGGCGTAACCCATAAAATAGAGCTTTAAATACGCTTAATAATCATTAGAATCAATAGAGTTGTATAAAATATGAGCGTTGCTTAAGGGCGTTGCATATTATTATATCTTCCAAGCTGCGTAATGACCGTTAGATGAGTTGATATTGCCGCGCTGAGTATCGCTGAGTAACGATGATGAGCTATAAGATAAAAATCTGCATCTTAAACAGAAATCCTAGCCTAAGATGCAGAGCGCACGAAAAATATGGATCCGGCCTGTCTGGAGCTGGGTATATTTTACAGTTGTTGGCAACATATTGGATGAGTGCATAAGTTCGTGCCCGATTCCGCTGAATGCCGTTCGAATCGTTTGAGAGTGGCGCTCGTGAAAGAAATATATACATATTATATTTCGTTGGAAAGGTGACAGTCCGAACTGTAAATCAAGCATAAAATAACGTCATTTTGATGTGAGTTGCTTAGTGAAAAGACGCATGGAAGATGGACAACGAAAAAGATCATATGCGTCATATTATGTTATACGAATTCCGCAAAGGAAAAACAGTAGGCGCTGCAACTAAAGATATTCGCGAAGTTTATTCGGACCGTGCTCCAGCACTCCGCGCAGTAAAGAAATGGTTCGCGAAATTTCGTTCTGGAGATTTTAACCTCGAAGATCAACCTCGCAGTGGACGGCCTTCTGAGCTTGATGACGATGTTCTAAGGACTTTAGTTGTGAATAATTCACGTATTTCGACGGAAGAGGTTGCCAATGAATTGAACGTCAACAAATCAACTGAGTTTCGTCGTTTAAAAAAGGTTGGGTACACTTTGAAGCTCGATACATGGGTGCCACATCAGTTGAGTGAAAAAAACAAAGTGGACCGTATGTCAACAGCAATTTCTTTGTTTCGACGGATCAAAAACGAAACTTTTTTGGAGCGGTGTAATTGGTTGAATGTGGGGAGTGGATTGCTGAACATAATGGCGAATACATAATTGATTAATAAAAGCGCTTTCTTCAAAAAATTTCAATTTTAGTTTGCACTTGAAATCGGGCACGAACTTATGCACTCATCCAATAATCCAAACTCCTAAATTAGTTAGGTGTTTCAAGCTTATCGCACCCATTGATAAGGTGCGTTCAGCGAACATCTCTTCAGTGAGCTTTAGAAAAGCTCTACCCTTAATTAGCTTCTTTAGAAAAGCTATGTGCTAGACGCTGGGATATAAAGATCATTTCTAAACAACTAAAGCATTGAATCGAATGCCGAAGATAAATTATTCCAATAAAGCGGTCCGTAGAAATAACTGAGAGAGTCTAAGACAAACCATAGAACATTCCCTTAATTGAGTAACTTTTTCTACGAGAGCTCGAAAAGTTCATTGCAACTTCGGCGAAACTTGTCGGAAAACTTTATGAGCAACGCGATAAAATTTATAAACCTGATCAACATGCAGCATGCAATGTTAATAAAATACACAACAAAAGTTACAAAAAAAAGCTTGTAAAAATCAATATAAACTTTAGAACATTTTTGAAACTCTCTCACTCCAAATTGTTCGCTTCTCTTTTACTCGTTGACAAGCGTTGGGGATACATTATTGCATATCTGTATGCACACGAATGCAGTTACATAACTACCCAAGTGTAGGAGTGAAAAAGCGCAAACTTTGATGAAATTTCGTCAAAGTTTTGGCGACTTTTATGCGCTTTCTACAAGCGACAAGTAAGGAGTTGAAAAGTAAAAAATATGTGCACACCTAGCACACACATACATATTTATGTATTTCAGCTGCCACATTGTGAATTTCTAT